TCCCCAGTGACTTTTTTTTTTTTTTTTTAGACAAGGCAATCTTTGGTTGACCTCACAGATTGCGAAGACCTTGACACCTTACAATCCCTTATTTTTTATTTTATTTATTTTTTACACCTACAGCACCTGACCTTTCTAGGTGGTCTCCCATCCAAGTACTAACCAGACCTGACCCTGCTTAGCTTCTGAGATCAGAAGGGATTGGGCTTGTCCCCAGTGACTTCTACCCTTTATCCCAGGCCAGCCCTTGCTGAGATGTCAAGATTTACCAACATCCCTGGGATCCAATAATTGCATCCTGATAACAATCTACTGTTCCCTGGATTCCTCTCCCCAAATTTCCTGCCTTTCCCACAACTAAACCGTTGGACCTCTCGACAATCACTTACCTCTGTTGAGTGTCCAACAGTCTGTCACCTCTTCAAAGGCTCCCTTCCTTTTCCTCCTAAATTTAGCTTTGCCACTCCCTATAATTAAGGTAACCATGGTTTCCAAACCAAACATCAGGGCACCTGGTCCAACAAACTCATTTTGCCTGTATGTGGGTCTTTATGAGATGATTTTCATCATATTTAGCCTTTTAACATATCCTAATTAGAAATAATAAAGCAACAAATCGGGATTGCTCTAGAAAATCTTTGGAGATATAAAATGAGCTCCCTCCCCTTTTCCGGGGTGCAGCTTAAATTAAAACCCCATTGGAAGGATAATTACCTCTCTGTTCCTGTGCTATTCCTTTACCTCTCCTCTGATTCCTCCATACCACTCATCTTTCATCCTGTAGCCTCTTCCCCATCATCTCCCATTTCTTCTACAGGGGGACTCCCCCAGGACTGGTAGCCCAAAGCTGCTGCTACAGCCGCCATGGGGGGTTGAATTCCTCATCCCCCAATACAGGTAAGTATTCATTTCTCCTTACCCTCAAAACAAGTACACCATATTCACTACCTACTTCACCTTTCCCAAGCACATGCCTGGTATTTTCCACAGGCAACCAAGAATGGAAGCAGGGGGAACAGGAAACAGAGAATAGGTGAGGCCTAAGCCCTTCCACTACCAGCCTCCCACCACTCTGTCTCCTTTCCTATCATCACTCTCAGTTCCTTCCTTTGAAATCTTACTCTCCAAAGTGGACTCCAGCTTCTTTCCCAAATCCTTGTACCTAACATCCTACAAGCCTCTTTCCCCATAGGTTCAACTCTGGTACTTTGCTTTGGCACTGTCTGAGGGGTTTCAAATTTGAACATAGCACCAATGGTTCCAGTCTCATTACCCCATCATGTGTCCTCTGCACAAAAGCCATATAGACCCTGAAGAGCCTGATCTTCACTTCAGTACCTCTATAACCCACTCTCCATCTCCCTACTTCCCAGGTCTGCCAGTGAGCAGCAGGTCTTGTCACAGGATGGGTATGGGGAGGAACCCATACATACAGTTCCTCCACAGGCCCAAGCCCCACCAACCCAGTACTGGACAATGGTTGGGGACACATTCAACGCCAGGTTCATTCGAAACTTGCAGGAACGTCGCAGCACCAGGCCATGGTGACCGTAGCTCCCTGTCTCACCCTCAAAGTATTATTTCTCACTACAGGAGATGACTAAAGCCTGCCCTCTTAATAGATATATTCATTCATTCATTCATTGAACAGGCTTATCAGTGCCAAATCATTTGTACCTTATTTTTAAACAGAACAATAAAGTATTTATTTTTATCAAGAGAGCTACTGAAAAATTTGTTATTTCACGTCGCCTCATTGCACCCATTTCAGCCTCATCCTCGCACAGCTTTTTGCGCAAGCGCTCCAAGTGCGGGAGCATTACTCGGGGCGTGCTAATTTACTGCGCAAGCGCTGTAAAGCAACCCCCATCCCGAGCGCAGGCGTACTTAACTGCATATCCGGCTCACTGCCAGTCGAACCCGCCCGAGTGCGCAAGCGCGCAACATCTCTGTTTCCCTCCCCTTTGCCCCTCACCCTTCCCCCCCCCTTTTTCCCCTTCAAGAAGCCGGCTCCGGGGCGCGCTCACCCCGTGAGGAGGCCGAAGGCCGCAACCGGGAGGCGCTGTCTTTACTCCCGGAAGATCATGTACCAGCCCAGCAGGGGGGCGGCCCGGCATCTCGGCCCCTGCCTCCGCGCCTACCAGGCTCGCCCCCAGGTGAGAGCAGAGTGGAGAAGGAAAGGAGGCGAGGGGGCGGGGGGAGACCCTCTTCGGGGCTGGCGCATGGGGCGGAGCGCGCGCCCCCGTTCTGCGCAGGCGCGGTGACGTCCTACCGCTTTTTTATACCTGTCCCGGGCGGCCCCCGGAGGGGCCTGTGGTCGCGGGAACCGAGGAGACGGCGGGGCCAGCTGTGGCGCGCACGGGATGTCGTTTCTCCCGGCTTTGGGGTGGGCAGGCGGGATTGAAGGTCGGGCGTTTGGGTGCATCTGCACATCGCCCGCGTCTCTGCGGTTACCTGTGTCTAGAGGTGATTTGAAGGGCAGGGGGCGGAGAGATTCTCAACCCGGCCGCGGCGCCAGCCCGGAGTTCTGGTCCCCGCCAGACGGACCTGTGGGCGCGCTCTGCAGCCTGCGCATGGTGCGCTAGGGTAGCGGTACCGGCAGGAAGGCCGGCCGGGGTGGATCTGGCTCGGGCCCCTGCGCCCAGGCGGGCAAGATGGCCACGCCCCCGGCGGATCGGCGCCTCGGGGACACGGTCGGGGATAGAGGTACCCGCACGGCCCGCTTGCCTTCCCAGGAATGACACCCCTGACGGTTCCTGAGGAGGCCGAGGGACTCGTGTCAAGCCTGACTTTGGCTGACCTCTTCACCGCAATTTCAAAGTTGGTAAACGAGGGGGAGTGAAGCCCAGCCTTTTAACAGTCTCCTGGGCTTGTTTGTGTCATTAACGTATGTTCGTTTACTACTTTATAGGTCGCAAGGTTTTATTTACATTATTTATAATCTTCATGATAACTCGATGTGGCTCCATCATCCTCGTTTGTAAGAGGACATTTATAGGAAAGAGGCATAGAGAATGAGGGTGCCTAAGGGCACAAGATAGAATTGGTACTCAAGAAATGTATCCTATTAAGTTGGGTGTTTTTTTCTCTATACAACACGTACCTTACGCACTTAATTATGGAGTTATGTTACAGGTCACATCATTTCATCCACAGTGCAATAAAACTTGTTATTCATTTGTTGATTCTTCAAACATGTATATTTGATCTTTGCTATAAGAGGGGTGGAACTGCCCTCAAATAGTATTGGGATCTTAAAACAGATATAAAGGTATTTGCTAATGTTTTGGGGAGGTTCTTGTCATAGGAAACTGTTTTCTGCTGGAGATGGAGATCAATCCATCCCATTTTCCATCTCTTCTGTCAGGAAAAGCAGGTGGGATTGGAAGCATGTTAATGGGCAGAGTTTGGATGAAGGGGCATTAGGCAGCCGGATTCTTACCTTTTTCTTTTTTCTTTCTGTTCCTCCTCCTCAGGACCAACTTTCTCCATGGGCTCTGCCATTCCCACCCCTATGGCCCCACTCCACGACTACCACTTCTCCATCTTCTCCTCTTTTCTGGTCTCCCCCACCCGTTCACCCTCCCACCTGGCTGCTTCCCAGAGCTCCCCCACTACCTCTCCCTCAGGTCCAGGCCCTCAGTTCACTATGGGTGGTGGTCCCTCCAGGCAAGGGGGAGGAGGGACTCGGACCTGAGTTGCATAGTGGCTGCCTGGACGGACTTAGGAGCCTGTTTGAGGGACCTCCTTGCCCCTCTCCTGGGGCACTGATACCTTTTCAAGCCCCTGAGACTGCTCGCCCTTCCCCTGCTAGTCCATCAGGAGATCCAAGTATGGAGGAGCACCTGGCTGTCATGTATGAGAGACTAAGACAAGAGGTAAGTCAGTTCAAAAGTGACCTTTATCCACAATGGGTAGGAATGTAGGTAATACTTGGAAATAGAGGGTCAGTCAACTGGATTCTTTCTCGGAGAACCACAAGGCAAGCATAGAAATATTTTACAAACATTTCCCAAAGAAAAGATTCTCCTCAGTTTGGAGTAAGGGAAGTTAAGCATGGGTCCTTCCTTACTTCTCTTACCAATAAAGCTCTTCTTTGTCACGCTTATAGAAACGCAGAAAGAGCATGTGGATAGGAAGCCCCAAAAGGCACAAAAATGACCTTTCACTCAGAGAGGAATAAGGAGGCACTAAAAATAGAAAACAGAAATAGGATCATCTTTTCTTTCCCACTGAGCTGATGCCTTCTTCTTCCATCTAGCTTCCCAATCTTTTCCTTCACTCCCATGACTACACTCTCTACTCATCGGATGTGGAATTCATCAATGAGATTCTGAACATACGTACCAAGTGAGAATCCAGGCACGGGTAGGACCTTGGGGAGGAAAAGGACCCAGTGTTATATACTTGATCCTTTTTACTTACCAGAGAAGATCATGCGCTGCTTCTGTACAATTGTTACCCATTCCTCAGACAGAGACCAGTTTGGTTTTCTAATTTGCCGTCATGAGATTTCTTTACCATCCTTTCTTCACAGGGGCCGGACATGGTATATTCTGTCACTGACCCTCTGCCGCTTCCTGGCCTGGAACTATTTTGCACAACTTCGGTTGGAAGTTCTACAGCTGACTCGCCACCCCGAGAACTGGACTCTGCAAGCCCGCTGGCGGCTCGTGGGGCTTCCTATCCACATGCTCTTTCTGCGTTTCTATAAGCGTGACAAAGAAGAGCTTTACCGGTAAGAGAAGTGAGGGAGGACCCATGCTGCAATCAGTTTCCTAATTATACTCTTTTAGGATTGATGGTCTCGTCTCCTAGTCCTTCATGACTTGACCTCAGGCTCCTTGAGAGCAAGATCTTGTTTTAATCTACTTCAGTGTAACAAAAATAGGGACTTTGAGTTTATTAGGAAACATCTGACCTCAGCTGCTTCATGTATATTCCCTGGGACATAGTTGGTATTCAAATACTTACTGAACAAATGAAAATTCCTGTCTCATAAGTTGAGCCTCACAACCTTAGGTAAAGGACCTGGTAAATTTCTGACAGAGTAGAATTCCAAGAAATTCTTAGGCTTGCCCCAAACCAGTGGTTCAGACTTTGCTGCATAGTGGAATCATCTAAAGATCTTTTAAAAATATTGGTGCCAGACATGCTGATTTAATTGAGAAAGGGTGCAACCTGGATATTAGGGTTTTTCAGAGTTCTTCCAAGTGATCTCATATGTAGCAAAGATAAAGAACTACTAGTTTAAACAAATGCTCAAACTTAAACTTTGATGAGAACAGTCACCTCCCCAGTAAGCCTTTCTCTTCTTTCACCAGGACCTATGATGCCTATTCTACCTTCTACCTGAATTCCAATGGCCTCATTTGTCGCCATCGCCTAGACAAAGTGAGTTCTAGGGCTACAAAATGAGTCCTAGGGGTGAAGGGGTAGCACATCCTACTACCTGGCATTAACCTTTCTCTTTGCAGCTGATGCCTTCACACTCACCCCCAACGCCTGTGAAGAAGCTGCTTGTGGGAGCCCTGGTGACTCTGGGATTGTCAGAACCAGAACCCAACTTACACCTGTGTCCCAAGGCCTGATCTCAGAACTGGGGTAGGGGCAGCACTGAAGACTTTGCTACGCACAAGAGCAGGAGGTGGGTGGAGGTAGCCAAGACTCTCAAGGGCCAGCTTCCTCCCCTCTTCTCTCTCCTTCCTTCCTTTCCATCTCATGCTGTGTAAAGCTGCTGTGTAATTTAACATGTAAATAATAAAGTCAAAATGAAAATATGAGATCAAATTTCCAAGTCACGTTCTCTGGATTCCAGAAGTTCCCACAAGCTTTATTCCAAAAATATTTTTATTAATAGAGATAAATAATGTACAGAAGGAAAAGGAGCTGGTGTCGGGTTCTGCTTATGGTCCCTTCTTTTTACCCAAGTTCTTCTCGTGTCTTGCCTATTTTTTTGGGCATTTTCTTAGCATGCGGATCTTCTAGCTCCTTTGCCTTATAATAGTGGGGCGCCACCTCCAGAAGCCAGCTGCTCTCAATCTCCAGTACCTAGAAGGGTAGAAAAAAGTCAGGAGGGTTCCAGTCTTTCCAGCCTAGATTCTAATATGTGTGTAATGAAAGTTCTTTTTTCCCTCTGACTACAGGGGTAGGGGAAAAGGTGTGGGACTCTAATACTATATACCCTAAGGGCTATTAAACTTCTGCATGTTATTCAGGATCCCAAGTAGGCTATTTCTTAAAAAAAAATCTGAATGTAAGTACTGTAAAAATACACACAGGACAGAGACCACATCTGCTTTGTTCATTATCACCTTAGCACCTGAAACACTGAGACGAGGCATTCAGATATTCACTGGATGAATGAATATACAATTCTCAGATCTTAGGAGACACTGAGACAGCTGTTAGAAACGATGTCTTTCTAGTCTATCCTACTTTAAACCAATGTGTTTTCCTATTTCTCTTGTCAGTCCCAACAACCTGAACCTGAGATTTTAGCTTGCCAGGATACCACATCTCTACACTTTCCATCTGCCTGGGTAGGGGATGGTTCCCTCACCTGTCGCATGAACTCCTTAGTGGTCAAGACAAGTTCATGGTAGAGCAGCCAGCGTGGCTGTTCCTCAAAGAGGGAGGAGTTGGGATGAATGAACACTGTCTGCTGCTGTTTCACTGTGCGATAGCCGCTACGGGTCAACCGTGCTGTGTGGTAAAAGTAACCAGCAGTGATGGCCTAAGGAGCAGGAAAGAAAGTCAATGGGACAGCAAGACATCCAGGGGCATTCACCACTCGCTGCTTGCTTTTTTTTTTTTTAGTTCAGGCTTCTGAAGAACTAGAAAGGTAAGGAACACAACCCACTGAGAAGAAAACTTCAATGGTCAAGGAATAAAGTATAGGGAGAGCATGCCTTCCACAAAGGGAAGAGGGCATGACAACAGGCTGGAGGGGTTGCCACAGGCCCCAGAGAGAAGCTTGCTTCTTGGGAGACACTGGGTGGACAGCAGCAGACTAAAGAAACACTGACCTTGCGTACACGGATATAGTCTCCCTGGCAAGAACTGAGACCAACTTCCACACGTTCCAAGAGCCCCTCCAGCTGTTCCCGCACATCCCGGGCTCGGCGCATCGATCTGAACTGGACAAAGTTCTCATAGCACCATTGGGAAGAGTAACCACTCTCAGCCCACTGTGAAGAGGGTTTAAAAAAAGATGAAGGGGTAAGTATATAGCAGGACCGGAGTCCCCCATGTCTCCTTCATTCCCACTCACTCAAGCCCAGTGACCTGTGTATAAACGTTTAGCAGAACCAAGTGGTCCCCACCAGGAAGGAAGAAGTTGACACGGGCATTGTCAGCATGGACAACCTTGTCCTTGGGTCGGTAGAAGATGGAGTTGTTGACAGACAGCATGGCAGCCACTGTCAGGATCTCCTCTGAACAGCTGTACCTGGGGCAGGAAGGGGAAAAGCCTGAGAGTTCAAAGCAAGACATAACAGACAAACGAGGTTGGGGGTGGGGTGGGGAGAGTGATCACTTAGTGATGGATAGGTCCTAACGTGGGGACTGCTGATTAGAATAATGACTACAAATCAGAGAGTAGATAGATTTGGTGGCAGTGGCAGCAGCATAGGGGTCAAGAAGGCAGGGGCCATAGATGACACACTTACAGAGGAGGGAATCTACAGAGGAAAGAACTGGGGGCCTCTGAGTATTCTGCAATAGGAAGGTGCGTACTATGTGCATTGGGGAAAAACAGCACTTTAAGTTCATGTGATGACCTCTGACCTCAACTATGGCATTTAAGGTGGTCACTCCACAGCAACATCTAAATGTTCCAGTCCGGAACCTTAGGAATGAACAAGTCCCCATACTAGCCCTTGCTCGGCACTCCTCACAGATAGAAAGTCTTCTATTTCTGTTCATGCCCCCACATTTTCTGTCAATCCTACTCATTTGATATGATAAAAGACAGTAGTGTCTTACCAATCCTTGTGGGCCTCAAAGGGGGCCCTAAGAGTTCTCTAATAACTTGTTATTTGTTAAAGAATAACATGGTAGGGAGACAAAGAGCGAAATAACAAAGATGGCCCCAGAGACAGAAGGTGGCATTGCCAGTTTGTGGACTGGAGGACTGGCTGGAGTTGGGGGCTTACTTCTCAGAGGCCAAGATCATTTTAGATAGCATGGGGTCCACCGGCAGCTCTGCCATCTTTCGACCAGACTAAAGAAAAGACAGAGAAGAGAGCTGAGGCCAGTCCTCCCTCAGGTGTCCCTCTACCACTTGAGGGGTCACCCTGACCTTCATCCTGCCCCAGTCCACTGGCCTCCCAACTCACCGTGGTGAGCTCCCCGAGGTGGTTGAGGGCTCCTAGGGCATATAGCTGCTCCAAAGCCAGCAGCAAGGTCTCATAAGGTGGAGGGTCCAGGAAATCAAAGTGCATGAGGTCATGAATCCCTGTATAGAGATGTGAGAGGTAGAACAGTCCCTTCACAAGGACCAGTGACTCCAGCCCCACCTCCTTTCTCTCTCAGGAGGACTGGGGGACCCCAAATCACCTAAGCTCTTGAGCAGCAACACGACATTGCCCAGGCTGGTCCTCTGGATCTCTGGCACTGTAGTTTCCTCCAGTTCATGCTGATAGGCCCAGGCAGTATACAGGCGGAAGCACTTCCCTGCAGCCACCCGGCCTGCCCGACCAGCTCGCTGATTGGCTGAGGCCTAGAAAGAAAAGAGAGGCAGGCTGGCTGACAACTCGGTGAGGTTAAAGAGAAAGGGCAGTATTTTTGCAAGAAATCTAGGAGGATGTGGCCTGCTTACTCCCCATCCTCTAAGAGGCCCCCACAGGCTTCTGAGTGGAACCTTCCTGTGGATGCATGCCAACTCCTGCTCCCTATGGAGACCTCACTGGAGCCCAGGCTGACCTTGCTGCAGGGTGTGACCGTGAGTGACTCCATGCCCGTGCGGGGGTTGTAGCTCTTCTGCTTACAGAACCCTGGGTCCAGCACATAAATGATGCCCTCAATGGTGAGAGAAGTCTCAGCGATGTTTGTTGCCACAACCACCTGATTGAGAGGATATGGGGTCACTCAGAGACCCCACCCACTTACCCAGAAAAAGTAATCCTGGAAGATTTCGGGTAGAGAAGCAGGAGTAGATAAGGGATAAGAGCTGAGGGGATTAAAGTCCAAAGTTGGGAGAGGGGACAAGGCCAGTAGAAAGGTGAGGGAGAAGTGGGGATCAGCAGAGGCACAATGTGGAAAAGAAATGGAGAAGAGATTTATAGTTTTTTCAGAGATGGGAGATAGGGGTAGCCAAGTTCTTGCCCCTGACTTTCCTACCAGCGCTGTCATATTCACCTTCACACATTACTGCCTGCAATAGCCTCCTAAAGAGTCTCCCTGATTCTACTCCTAGGCCTAGTTATTTGACATCCAGAATGTTCCTTTTAAAATGTACACCAGTCATATCGCTCCCCCATCCTCCAATGGCTTCCAACCCTACCTGAGAATTATATCCAAGTCCCTTTAGGCGCTGAGTCCTCTGGTCCCTGGTTACCTTTCTGACCTCATTACCTAGCACTATGCTCCCATGCTCCACTCCTGCACGCTGCTGCTACCTGGCCAGGCACTGTGCACTCCTCACAATTCTTACTCAGGTCCTTTTGCAAGAGCTGGTCCCTCTGCTGGGCACACTCTTCTCCTAAATACCAGCCTAGCACCCTCCCTCACCCAGTTCAGGCCTTAGCTTCACTTTCACTTTACTGGAGCATGAGAAGCCTTCCCTACAGTCCCAAGAAAAATCCAAGAGTCAGTCTCCATCTTCTTAGGTAGCATTGTATCTCTTCACAGCATTTGTCACAAGTTGACATTATGTATTTATTGTCCATTGTCTCTTGATTTACACTAGACTGTAAGCTCTATGAGGCTGGGGACTTTGTTTCATCACTGTATCCCCATCCCCTAGAACTGTACCTGGTACAGGGAGGAACCCGTTAAATATTCATCAAATGAATCTTTGCTCAAAATCCTTCAATTGCCATTCAATTGTCTAAAGTCTGAATTTTTCCACTTGCCATCAAAGGCCCTTCCTAATCTCAGTCCAAAGTTGGTTTTAGCCTGTCCCTCTACTCCACCACATGAACCTTCTGTTAAACCCTATACTCTGACCTCAAACATACCTTAGGCCTTCCTCTGACATTCGCCAGCCATTTTTCTTAAAGGTGCAATTCATATCTCACCTCCTAGCACACGAAGGGCTCCCCTTTTCTGCATCTCCACAGGGTGTACTTCACAGGTCATACATTTGGCTGTCTCTCAGTTTATACCATATTCATCCTCTCTCTCCAAAGCTGAGGGACTGACTGCTAGTCAGCCTTGTAGCTGCAGCAGTACCCAGGGTACACCTTGCACAGGGTAGGCACATCTTTTCTTTCCTGCTAGTTGTATGAACTATAAGGGTGAAGAATATAAGTTTCTCCAACTTACCTTCCGTGCCCCAGGGGGCGTAGGCTGGAAGATTCGAGCCTGCATGTCAGAAGGCAGGTTAGCATAAATGGGCAGCACCAGAAGTTCCCTAATTTTGGAACCCAAGCGGCGGCACCGATCCTGGAGCATCTCACAGGCAGCCTCAATCTCTTCCTGGATTTGGGGTGAGGAGAGCAGCAAGAGCCCCAAAGTCATAGAAAGCCAACCTGCTGGCCCCATTTTCCCATTTCATCACCTCCTCCCCACACATGACTCACCTGTCCTGTCAGGAACACCAGGATATCCCCAGGGGGCTGGGTTAC